TATCTAAGCAAATAATCTTAAATAAGTGCTCAATTAGTTACCTGACTTCTAGGAAAAATAAAAAATAATTACTGGGAAAAAGTGGTCATTGGAGAATATGACAGCCCTGAGCAGCGAAGTAGAGAATTATAGGTTGGCTCAGGTATTATTCTTGTGGGACTAATAGCAACAGAGTAATCAGAAAGTGGGTAGTTAGAAAATGAGAATTTCTTACAAGTTAACCTATGGGGAGAAACTTGAAAGTCCCACACGATTCATTTGCACGTGTGCTTTTTTCTAACCACCCTAAATCTGTAGTGAGAATGTATGAATTCTTTGTCTTTAGTGCTCTCACCTCATGGGGCCCCAGAAGAGCAGCTATTCCTGGTCAGGGAGGAGATTTTCAATCCTAGAATAAGCTTTTGTGCTTGAACCATAGATATGGAGCTAAGATACACTTGGAGCAGTTATCAGTCAGGATTTTAGATTTCTTCAATTTGGCTACAGCTAAGGTTGGTGAGTTGAATTCAGGCCTGGCTGCTGTACATGTTTGATCATATGGACTGGGAAGATTTAGACTTGGATGCATTATTTTAACCCCCTCATTAAATGTTATATGATGAAAATATTAATTCGGAAGTGTGAAACCAAAGTAGCATAAATGCTTATATCTAACATAGAATTTCAATTGATTCTGCATATTTTGGTGTTTTAGCCATTCTTTTAATAATAAGTATACTATTTTTTAACAACAAGGAAAACAAAAAGGAAAAAATAAATAGCCAAAGGAGCAAGTTGGTGTTGTTGAGGTATTGTTGAATTTCTCTGTCTTAATCTTTTTCTTCTTTCCTCTCTTCTCTTTTCTATCTCCTGTCTTCTCTCTTCCTCTCTCCCTTGGCCACTTCCCTATGCCTTTTTCAGATCTCTCTGTAAGCCTAATTTTACTGATTTTTATCATGTAAACTAGTGATTACACAATTGTTTTGTATTTAATATAACTGACACAAGAACAGAGAATGAAATACCGCATGTTCTCACTCATAGGTAGGTGATGAACACTGAGAACACATGGACACAGGGAGGGGAGCACTACATACTGGGGTCTATTGCGGGGAGTAGGGGAGGGACAGCAGGGGCGGGGAGCTGGGGAGGGATAGCAGGGGGAGAAATGCCAGATGTGGGTGAAGGGGAGGAAGACAGCAAATCACACTGCCATATGTGTACCTATGCAACTATCTTGCATGTCCTGCACATGTACCCCAAAACTTAAAATGCAATAAAAAGGAAAAAAAAATTGGCATTCTCAATTTTTTTCCAAATCAATATATTTTATTGATTATAAAATAAAATATCTTTCTTTGTCACTAATGGTGAAGAAAGTAATAATTTAACACCTATTAGATTCCAAATAGTTGTATGTAGTTTCTGAAAAACATAGAATGGATTTCCTCCACTCTGATGTGTGCATATAAGGGTAAATGTAAACATTACATAGTCACTCTTGTTTTGTAGTGTTGCATATTATCAATTTTTTAAACATTAAATACATAAGACGTAGATTTAAAAAAACACATAATTGAAAATGATGAGGATTTTTTTTAAGTGCCATCCCTTTTCCTTTTTTCATAAAGATGACGATTGGCAGAACCCATCCAAATCCTCTTTCCCTCTCCTGGATCAGAAAATGTATTTATTTAGCTAATCTTCTATCTATTTGGTATGGATTAGGAGAGTGGATCTTATTTGAGTTTATATATATTTGGCATATAGTTCTTACAAGGAAAACAGTTGGGTACCATATAACCTGGATATTTTCAACATTACCTTGTCTCCAAATTTTCCCAGATGCAGACTCCTGAGAGGTAAGCAAATGTTCTTTGAATTAGGCCTGCTGACTATTGTGTAGAGAAACAATTCTGGTGTCTGAGAAAAGTCTTCCTTTGCTCATCAGTGCAGAATACTTAATAGGGCATATTTCTAGGTTTGGTTGTTTGTTTTTGAGACGGAGTCTGGCTCTGTCACCAGACTATAGTGCAGTGGTGCAATCTCAACTCACTGCAACCTTCGCCTCCTGGGTTCAAGCGATTCTTCTGCCTCAGCCTTCCTGAGTAGCTGGGACTACAGGCGCGCGCCACCACCCCTGGCTAACTTTTGTATTTTTAGTAGAAACGGGGTTTTACCACGTTGGCCACGATGGTCTCGATCTCTTGACCTCGTGATCTGCCCCCCTCGGCCTCCCAAAGTGCTGGGATTACAGGCGTAAGCCACCGCGCCAGGCCCATATTTCTAGTTTTAACACAGTTCTTGAGTTTTTGTTGTTTATGCCATGTAGGAATAGAGATCTTCTACATAGTGAAAATGAAGATCTCCTACCTAAGTGGCATGCAGAATGAGGCTGCTTTGCAGCAATCCCACTCCTAATACCTCTCTTTGTCTATTTCTCTCCTACCTAGGGGCCTCTTAAATTTCGTCCTAAGTTTAAGGCTCTGATTACAGATTTTGCAGTTCTCCGACATTATCTTTGTGTCCCGTTCACTACTCTGTTTATATAATATGGAATAAATAATAACTTATGCAAAAAACAAGTTAATATAAAAGATTTAAGGACTTGGATTTTAGAGAACATACCACTAGAAAACTATTTTGTTAATATTTCATTGATGTCATGGAACAGCACAATAGGCAAATTTTCATGAACAGAATAAGTCATACCTAAGTCCATCAATCATGTATTATTTTCCATTGATTATTCTGATCACCTTCTTTGACTAAATTCTCCTTAGAATGTTTACCCTAAAATAAAATATGTATTATACCATAGGCCCACTGATGAATTTTCTCAGATCAGAATCATCTTTCCTTTTGACCCACAGTATCCTCTTTTGAGCATCACAGTTTGCCTTCTCATTTCTCACTCCTTAGCTACCAGATACATTGCGTGATTTCTGCCAGATCCTTCTGACATGAGGACTTTTAACCAGAAGTTAAAATTAATAATTATCTGCTTAGTCAGTTTTTCATTAACAAACATATTTTGAGTGGCAGCTATATTACACATGCTGTGCTGTGGAAATAATGATGAACAGAACCACTCCCTACCTCCCCCATCAATTCTTCATGCAGCATACAATTAAATGGGGACTCAGACATTGATTAAATAGTCATATAAAGTGCTATCAGGTGGAATAAGAGGTTTCTTGAAGGGAATATTACAAGCCAGTGTACTGAGTTCAGTGAGACTCTTTCTAAAAATGGGTCATTAAAATTCATGTCTGAAGGATTAAAAGAAGGATGATGATGGTTCCTCTTTTCTTTTCCTCTCACTTGTCTTGGAATTCTTCCACCAGATACATTTTTGTATTTAGAGAGTTCATCTTCCTCTCTTTCTATCACAAAACTTTTCCTCTGTTATTTCTTTTTTTTTTTTTTTTTTTTTTTTTTTTTTTTTTTTTTTTTGAGACCGAGTTTTGCTCGTTACCCAGGCTGGAGTGCAATGGCATGATCTCGGCTCACCGCAACCTCCGCCTCCTGGGTTCAGTCAATTCTCCTGCCTCAGCCTCCTGAGTAGCTGGGATTACAGGCACGCACCACTATGCCCAGCTAATTTTTCTTTTTTTTTTTTTTTTTGAGACGGAATTTCGCTCTTGTTACCCAGGCTGGAGTGCAATGGCGCGATCTCGGCTCACTGCAACCTCTGCCTTCTGGGTTCAGGCAATTCTCCTGCCTCAGCCTCCTGAGTAGCTGGGATTACAGGCACGCGCCACCATGCCCAGCTAATTTTTTGTATCTTTAGTAGAGAGGGGGTTTCACCATGTTGACCAGGATGGTCTCGATATCTTGACCTCGTGATCCACCCGCCTCGGCCTCCCAAAGTGCTGGGATTACAGGCTTGAGCCACTGCGCCTGGCCCTTCCTCTGTTATTTCTAAAATCTTCCGCCTTGACTTCCTAAAACCTCAAGTGCATTGGGTATTGCACCAGGTCCTGACTTACTTGGCTCCTAGGAGGACATCATGCTCCTTATTAACACTATTTCATTCTCTTCAAGGGACTCATGGATTAAAATTAAGAATCCACTCATATTTCATTACATCTTCTTTAGAAGCGTGAACTTAGACCAAGTACATTAGTAAGAAATACAAGAGATAACAGAGTTTAAGGAGTAAATTGTGAGGAAACCTGTGGGTAGCTGGTCATGATGGGCAATTCAGCTTAAAAAAAAAACTGAATAAGGACTAAATGCTTGAGCCTAAACAAAATCCAGGGAATAAATACATTTGGAAAGAGTCCTAGCAACACCAAGAGTTCAGAGAGTGGGGTTTCTGTGACAGAGCACCTTCAATTTGAGTGTGGAGGCAGGCACCGGCAATGCAGACATAAAATAAAGAATTCCATTTATTCAGGGACTAGGATCGATGCTGTTTTCCTTGTGCAGCTGATGTGAGTAAAAGTGGTGTAATATGTTTGAAATTTCTTTGTAAATTAAATAATATTAAATACTTATATGACACCATCATTTTTATAATTGTCCTCTTTCTTATAATACCAATGATGATGGTAATCATAATAAAATGATAATATGTCCATGACTCCCCATTTGAGAATAAACTTGAATATGATATGAGTTATTTAGAAATGAAGTGAGCCCATGTTGTCTCCTGTGAGGAATAGGGGAACTAAATGGGGAGCCTGAGGAGTTCAGTCAGTGCTTTAAACCTGTGTCAGTCTCTAAAACAATGATGTTTCTAAGATCAATTATGTTTACGTTCTTACTAAAATTTAGACTATCTAGTCCAGTGTCCAAACACCTCCTCACTTCTTAAAGAATATTATCCTGAAGGCTGAACAACAGAGTGAGACTTTGTCTCAAAAAACAAACAAACAAAAGAATATTCTTCTGCATTTGTCCTATATATTAATGAGAAAAGATGGAAAGATACGTAAGAGGGAAAACATGATTTTTCTTCTGTGCACCAAAATACAATGTACTAATTACATTTTTTTGTTTCTATTCAGCATTCCAGTATTGATGAGGCACTGGGAATTCTTACGCAGAACTGAAATTCCTTAGAATGAGTTTGACCATCAGAAGCCCTTGCCAGTATGTCTTCAGCCAATAGCTCATGTATTCACCCCTCATCCTTCCTGCTGTTGGGAATCCCAGGACTGGAAAATATACATTTCTGGCTTGGCTTCCCATTTGGTATAGTGTATCTGGTTGCCCTCCTAGGGAATGCCATCATCCTATCTGTGATCCAGATAGAGTGCAGCCTTCACCAGCCCATGTTCTACTTGTTGGCCATGTTGGCTCTGACTGATTTGGGCCTGTCCACTGCCAGCATTCCTAAAACGCTGGGCATATTCTGGTTTGGCTTCAACGAGATTGCCTTTGGGGACTGTTTAGTGCAAATGTTCTTCATACACCTTTTCACAGGCATTGAAACATTCATGCTTGTAGCCATGTCTTTTGATCGCTACGTTGCCATTTGCCACCCTCTTCGATACAACACGATCCTCACCAACAGAGTAATTTGTATTATTGCTGGAGTAGGAATAATGAAAAATTTGGTTTTGGTTTTCCCACTTATATTTCTCCTTCTAAGGCTTTCATTCTGTGGACATAATATTATACCCCACACCTACTGTGAGCACATGGGCATTGCCCGCCTGGCCTGTGTCAGCATAAAGGTCAATATGTTATTTGGATTGATCCTTATCTCTATGATACTTTTGGATGTAATTTTGCTTGCTCTCTCCTATGTGAAGATTCTCCATGCTGTCTTTAAACTTCCATCCTGGGAGGCCAGGTTCAAAGCTCTCAATACCTGTGGCTCCCATGTGTGTGTCATATTAGTTTTCTTCACTCCAGCCTTTTTCTCCTTTATGACTCATCGATTTGGTCACAATATTCCACGTTCTACCCATATCCTCCTGGCTAATTTATATGTGATTATCCCGCCTGCTCTTAACCCCCTTATTTATGGAATAAGAACCAAGCAGATCCGAGATCGAATAGCAATGATCTTTTTTTTAAGGAAATTTGACTGAACACTTGATCTGATAATAGCCTTCAAATCTTTCCTTTGCATTTTTTAAAAAAAGGTAAATTTAATTGTCATCAGGTTCCAACGCAGAAAATGCTTTACACAGTTTGGTGTTAAACAGAAAATACTTTCTTACATGCAGTATCAAATTGGAGATAAATTGTCCCTAGACTAAATGAAAAATGCATTGTTACATAAATAGGTGCCATTTATTTTTGTATTGAATATAAAAATTATATTACAGGGATAAAGTTTTAATGCAATTTGAGGCTTGGTGGCTCACACCTGTAAAAAGCTCCTTAGTGGCTCTTTATAATTTCCCCCTCCCCATCCCCTGTCCACAGGCAACCATTGACCTTCTTTCTAACTGTTAGATTAATTAGTTTGCCTTTTCTAGAATTTTATGTAAATTAAATACATATTTTTTTTCTGGCTTCTTTGGCACATTGTTATTATTTTCAGATGCAATTTTTTAGCATAGGAAATGCATAAGCCAGTAACAATTATTTATTATCATTATCAAGTATTATATACTGTGCATAATTGTGTGTGCTAGATTTTTATACTAGACTGGCAATGCAGTAAGTTTGTTTACACCAGCATCACCACAAACACATGTAATGTGTTGTGCTACATTACAATTACTACAATGCCACTAGGAGATAGAAATTTTTTTTACCTCCATTTTTGTTATTGTGTACATTAATACTTAATTTTATTTTGTTGCCAACCCCTATGCAATTGTGTGATTATGCCACAATTTGCTTAACCATTCACTCATTGATAAACGTTAAGTTTGGGGTATTATAAAGTTTCTATGAATCTCCATATATAAATCCTTGATGAATACCTGTTTTAAAAATTTCTTTTGCACAAATACCTAGAATTCTATTGGTTGAGTCATATGGTATATGCATGTGTGTTTGTGTGTGTGTGTGTATGTGTGTGTGTGTGTGTAACATTTTTAAAATGAGACTGTTTCCCAAAGTTTTTATTCCATTTTGCATTTCCACTAGCAGCATATGAAAATTTCAGTTGCTTTATATTTTTTTTAACATTTGCTATGGCTCACCTTTTTAATTTTAATAGAGTGTAATGATGCCTTGTGGTTTCCATTTGCATTGTTTTAGTAACTAGTAATGTTGAGCACCTTTTCATGTGCATCCTGGCCATTCATACATCTTTATGAAACATGTATGCAAGTTTTATCTTCATTTTTCAAATTCGGATGTTTGTCTATTTATTACTCACTTGAAAACGTTTTTTGTGTAGTTTGGCTGTAACTCTATTGTCTGATATATGTACTTCAAATATTTCCTCCTAGTTTAAGGCTTGCAATTTTAATTTTCTTAGTAGTTCATTTTGAAAGGTAACATTTTAAAATTCTTTGATAAATCTCCATATGATTTTTCCATAGAGGTATTACTAATTTACATTTCTACCAATAGTGTTTAAGCATTCCCTTTTCTCTGCATTCTTGGTGACATTTTTTTTTTTAATCTTCCTAGTAATAGTCATTCTGACTGCTCTAAGATGATATCTCATTTTTGGTTCCTAAATTGCATTTCTCTAATGATTCATGACATTCAATTTTTTTCGTATGCCTTTTGCTCATTTCTTTTGAAAAATGACTATTCATGTTCTCAGTTATAAATGGGAGCTAAACAGTATATACACATCTTAGAGTTGGAATGATAAATAATGGAAACTCGGAAGAGTGGGGAGGTGGAAGATGAGAATCACTTAATGGATACAATGTCTCATTAGTCCTATTGCTGCTACAATCATTCTTGGCAGCATAGAACACCTCTGCTATCATCAGTTGTTAGGATGATGGATATCTTAAAATTCCTGACTCTACAACTAGGCAATTTATCCATGTAACAAAGTTACACTTGTACCCTATAAATTTATACAAATATAAAATTTTAAAAAATTTTTTGAAGAAAGGAAAAGCAAGATTTAAAAAATTTGTTGGTGAAATCCATATAGTGAGAGTAGAGGTTTATGGAGGACAGGTGATCAGTGGACTTTTAGTTCAAGTTTGCCTCACAGTGGGCCACCAGGTTCCTGAACTAATCCAGTGGTTATTTTTCCAGTTCTGGAATGCATAAATGTAAAAGACATATTTAGCAACTAGAAGAATTCCCTCCTGCTTGAGAAAGGCCTTCAACATTTTTTCTATTCAGGCCTTCAACTGATTTGGTGAGGCCCACTCACATTATAGAGGACCTAAGTTTTGTTATGCAACTAGTAAACTTTAAAAGACCCTAGACACTCAGTAAATTGATGATTTGTGTTAGCTGAGAAAAAGGCATATTTGCACATTTTTTGGTGGCTCACAACAAAGATAAAGCTCACTCTGTGCAACTGAGAATGTATCCCAGGAGTCATACCTGCAAGTTTTTTATTTGTCCATGTTTACATGCTGTATCTGTTTCTTTCTTCTATTGTATCTTGCCCTGACATTATTGAAGTCCTAAGGTCCTTTCAGATAGTTAATTCTATGTAACCTGCATCTACTATTTCAAAATATATATAAATGAAGTATAAAGTGAGGTCCATGGTGTTTCATTGGTTATTTTCTTCCCTGCGATTACATGATTATGGAAGCTAATTCTGCCATGGATGAAATAAGAATTGTGTCTGATATCCTTGATCAGGGCTCCTGTAATCCACATCCTGAAGTGTTAACTCATCAGTCCCATTGCGGCTATGATAGTTCTTGGCAGCATAGAACCACTCTGGTATAATCAATGAATTATTTATTAAATACTATATATTAGTACTTAAGTTGCATTAAAACTTTTTTTTTCTTTGTTTTGGAGACCAAGTCTCACTCTGTTGCCCAGGCTGTGGAGTGCAGTGGCACGATCTTGGCTCACCACAACTTTTGCCTCCTGAGTTCAAGTAATTCTCCTGCCTCAGTTTCCTGAGTAGCTGGGCCTACAGAAACATACCACCACACCCAGCTAGTTTTTGTATATTTAGTAGAGATGGGTTTTCACCATGTTGGCCAGGCTGGTCTTGAACTCCTGACCTCAGGTGATCTGCCCACCTCAGCCTCCCAAAGTCCTTAAAGACTTTGGATTTTAAAATGTTATATACACACACAAACACATACACACAAACACACATGTATATATCATAAGCCCCAACCAATAGAATTCTAGGTATTTATAAAAAATAAATTTAAAAAACAGGTGTTCATTGAGGATTTATATAGAGAGATTCATAGAAGCTTTATAGTAGCCCCAAACCTAACATTTATCAACAAATGAATGGTTAAAAAAATTGTGGCATATTCACATAATGGCATAGAGGTTGGCAACAAAATAAAATTATTAATGTACACAATAACAAAAATGCATCTGAAAATAATAATGTGTCAAAGAAGCCAGAAAAAATATGTATTTAATTTACATAAAATTCTAGAAAAGGCAAACTAATTAATCTAACAGTTAGAAAGAAGGTCAATGGTTGCCTGTGGACAGGAGATAAGGAGAAGGAAATTATAAAGAATCACTAAGGAGCTTTTTTCAGGAATAAAATTTTCATTATTTTGATTGTGATAGTTTCATAAGTACATACATCTGCTCATAACTTGTCATCAAATTGCACACTTTAAATAAGTCCATTTTATTGTATCTCAATTATACCTTAATAAAGTTTAATATAATGATTAGCTTAAGGGATTTATGACAGACCCATTGCACCAGTTAGACATTCAAAATATGATAGAAAGTGGTATGTTAAGTTGTTCTCCACCTGAAGCAACTCAAAAGGGATTCTACCAGCACTCAAATGAGTACTGAGTAGTGACACTACTATCCACACATTGTTATTATTGCGAGGCAGTGAAACTAGCAAGAAAATTCCTTATTCCAGACAAAATACCACTCTAAAAAAAAAACACTTAAGCGTAGACAACAGGGGTATTATGCTGCAGACCTGGCGAAATACACTTTTGGTAAAATTTTATCAAAATATATTTTATATAAAATGTTCAAAAATTTTATGTATACAACCGAACAACAACTAACTATCAGGTACTATGCTTATTAACTGGGTGACAAAACAATTTGTAAACCAAACCTCCATGACCTGCAATTTACCCATACAACAAACCTACAGTGCACATGGACCCATGAACCCAAAATGAAAGCTAAAATAAGAGCTGATACAAAAAGATTATTTTTCCTCAAAGTAAACAAATCTGTATAATTTGTTACCCAAACAAAGTAACAGAAAATCAGTGCACCAGAGAAGTCTTTATTCTTCTCTCTTTCAGTTACTGCTTCACTGATGGATAAACTCTGTCTTGATTATTAATATCATAGATTGGTTATGTTTGTTTTTCATTGTTAATTTGAATAAATGGATTGATACAGAAGGTATTCTATGCCAGACTTCTTTTATTTAATATTATATTTCTAAGATTCCTATGTATTCATCTATGTCCATGTAGTTATTAAATCACCATTTTACAAATATTTCAACTTGTTAATCCTTTAAAATATGTATCAGTTCAACTGCTGATTAATGTGAAAAGTCTTCAGTGAGCAATAATATGTGCTAATATGACCATCATTTCATATGTCTTTTGGCAAATACCTGAATAAATCTTTTTGGAATATAACTGAAATAGAATTGCTAGGCTACAGGATATATATAGATATAGCTTTAGGAAGTATTGCCAAATAATTTTTCAAAGTTGTTGTTAAATTACATTTCCAAAGCAGAGAATAAAAACTGCTGGAGGGGCCTCAAGATGGCTGACTAGAGCCATCTGGTACTCGACTTCTCCACAAAGAAGAACAAAAATTACAAGTAAATAATCACACATCTAATAGATCATTTAAGAGAGAACACTGGAATTCAACAGAGAAATGACAAACAAAACAAAACAAAACAAAAACCCTAAGGCAAGGAAAAAGAGAGAAACAAGACAGCCTGCTAGGCCAGGATCTTCTGTGAGACCAGGAGGCTCCCCAGTGTAGGGAAAAGGTAAGTGAGAGATTCCCCCAGCAGTTCACATTCCCCTGTGGACCGCTGCAATCTTAGTCAAAGAAGAGTGCCTTGACCCTCAGGGGCTCTGAGACCAACATAGAACCATGCCTGGAGACTGTGTGATGGCAGTGCTCCAGAAAGGGAGCTCACACTGGTTCCCACACATCCTTCAGTCCTCGGAAACTATAGCATGGAGCCATTTTGAGAATCCAGCCCCTACCAAAGTACATCCTGTCCTGGTGCACTATCCTTGCTTCTGAGCCACATCGACATCCCTTATCCACAGCTACTGCCCCTGCTAGCTGCTGCTCCTGATGGCTGCTGCCACCTGAGTCTAAGGAAGAGCCACTGGCAGTAACCCTCGCCCCGTACCCCCAGAAGATGGGAAGCTGCCCATTTTCACATGCCCTGAGGAAAGACTAACACACCTATAGCCACTTCCAGGATCAAAGCATGAGCCACTGGCAGCAATCTTATCCTCTCCAGCAGAGGGATGGTAACACATTTTCACATGCCCTGAAGAAAGGCTACACCTCTCAGCTGCTACTGCTGCTGGCTGTGGCCATCACCAGGCTCATAAAGGAGCCACTGGCAGAAATCCCACCCTCCTCAGTAGGAGGTTCATATTGCAGCTGCTGCCAATTCCACCTGAGCACTCCACCTGGGAGCCTAGGTATCACCCCACCCCTGACCACCATAGCCAGTACCTGTATTCACCACTAGGAGCTTGAGGACAGACCTGCGCAGCATGGCTATGCCTTCTCTAATGCCTGAAAATGCCATCCAAGAACCTAGGGATCTCTCTACCCTGTCCACCCTCTTTAGCATCTAAGTACTCCTGCAAGGGCCTGAGGACAGACCCATTCAGCCTGCTGCTACTGCCACAACTGGCCGCAAACCACATGCCTCACTTGTGGGTCTGTTGGATGGTTAGGCCCATCCAGTATGTCACAGTCACAGCCAACATCAGTGAGGACCACTTGGGCACCAGAAGGTTGTCCTGTCACTGCTACAGCCACTGATCATGCTACACCCACTGCCCATGGATGCAATCTTCAGAAACAGATACCAGTCAAAAAAAATTTATGAAATCCCAGAAATAGAATTCAAAATATTTTTGTTAAAGAAAATTAGTTAGATATTAGGCAATACGAAAAGCAATACAAATAACACAACTCAAGATATGAATGAAAAATTTACCAAAGAGATAAAACAAGCAAACACCATAAAAGAGATAAAAAGAAAAAACAAACATCATGAAAAAGAGCAAAACAAAAATTCTGGAACTGAGTAATTTATCTAATGAAGTAAAACACAAATTCAAGACAGGATTCAAGGGGGGAGGACTCAAGATGGCGCTGTGAGAACAACCCAGGATTGGAGCTCTTCTCGTTGAATCTGCAAACGGTGAGTCAGAGCGGTATTTCCAGACTGATCTTTGTTGCCCACAGAACGGGGAAACTCCGAAGTATAAAAAAGACACGGGACGCCAGGTAGGTCTGCCTGGCGAAGCCGGCAGCCGGGGCGGCGGCGGCCGGCCCTACCCAGCAATCCCCACAGGGCGCGCTTGTCCGGGTGCCCTGTTGAACCGGCAACCTGAAACTTGAGAGGGCTGGACTTGAGACTGAATGAGACTTGGACAGTAGCCCAGCCCAGGGGATTGCAGGAATTGGGATACCCAGTGGGACGAACAAAACCGCGATTTCAAACTATCCCGAGCAGACGGTCCGAGACGCTCTGTGGGGGAGGGGCGTCCACCACTACGGAGGCAACCCGCCCCAACTGAGATACACGCCCACTGCTGACGCAGCCAGCCGTTGCCGAGGCAACCCGCCCCAACGGAGATACACGCCCATTGCTGACGCAGCCAGCCGTTGCCGAGGCAACCCGTCCCTACTGAGATACATGCCCACTGCTAATGCAGCCTGCCGTTGCTGAGGCAACACGCTACAACGAAGAGACTCCGCCGCAGGGCGTGGCGGAGACCACAGCAGAGCCGGCAGGAACAGGGCGAATCACACAACAGCAGGGCGGAGCCTCGGCAGCCAAACAGTGGCTAGACTGCCTTCTAGCTGGGCAGGACACCTGATCGGACATCCAAAAATAAAGCCCAAACCCCTCAACACAGAGCATTTGAGAAAAAAAAAAAAAAAGGGTTTTTTAATGAGCTCTGTTGCAGCAGAATCAAACATAGCAGCCTAACAGCCCTGAATGAACAACGGAGTGCACAGCTCAGCAATTAAACCCCTATAAAGTACAAACTGTCTCCTCAAGCAGCTCCCTGACCCCTCTATATCCAAAAGACTGACATTAGGCAGGCATCATCCTGGGACAAAGAGAGCAGAAAAAGAAACTGGTAGCATCACTCGCTGTGCCACGGCTACTAGAGGTGCACCCCAGACAAGCAGGGTCTGGAGCGGACCTCTGCAGTCATACAGTGAAGGGGCTAGACTGGTAGAAGGAAAACAAAGCAACAGAAATACTTCATCATCAACATTCTGGGTGTCCACTCAGAGACCCAAACGAAAAGTCAGCAACTACGCAGACGACCAGCGGACAAATCCACAAAGATGGGAAGAAACCAGCGCAAAGAGGAGGAAAACACCCGAAACCAGAACACATCGCCTCCTAGAAAGGACCAAAACTCCTCACCAGCAAGGGAGCAAAGCTGGACGGAGAATGACTGTGACGAAATGACGGAATTAGACTTCAGAAGATGGATAATGAGAAACTTTTGTGAGCTAAAAGATCATGTATTAAATCAATGCAAAGAAACTA